TCTCCCTCTTTCACTCTCATATGAGCTATGGTATACAACTATGGGGAAATTCATGTCATGCTATACACATTTTTAGGATGCAAAAAAAGGCTTTGAGAATTCTAGCTAAAATCGGATACAGGGATCACTGCCAAGAATATTTCAAAAAACTTGGAATTATGCCACTGCCAACTTTATATATATACTGTGCTATAGTTGAGATGCACAAAAAGCAGTCATGTATGATAAAACAATCTCATATTCATGAACATAATACAAGAAAATGTCATCAGATCAGACTAAATCGATATCGTCTTCAATTATCCCAAAAAAATACCCTAGATTTTTCTATGTATAATATTTTGCCACAGGATCTCAGAGTGCTCAGTGTGAATTCCTTCAAGAAACAACTTAAAAAGTATCTATTGAGACATTGCTTCTACTCAGTCGATGACTTCAGAGAGCATTTTCGCATTCACAAACAACTCACATCTCCTTAGCTGTCCAAATTTGGTTTGTTTGTTGTCTTTCATTTAGTGTGTTCATTACTTGTGTATTGACTTTTTTCTCTTATGGAACATTTTAATATTGTGATTTTAGATTTTTAAACTTGTAATTTGTTAACTTCCATGTTCTTTTTATTTTTAATATGTGAGCTTAACAATATAACACTACTTGTATCTTGTATCTGACCTGCTACAAACATAGAATTTTTTTGTGTAACGTGGTTAAATAAATGCTATCTATCTATAGACTATAGCTACTGACCACTGACTGGTTAGGTATATACCGGCTCGATCGAGGGCTTGCTTGTCAGGGACGGATTTAGTCGATATCCAGTCTTAGTAGACTCAAGGAAAATATTCCAAACATTGCTCATCGTAAGGGAGAGATCCAATATTTTTTAAATATACCCATGATTTATACTTTGAAGAAAAATACACCAACGCCCAATTATTTGATGTTTTCAATGTTAAAGAGTTCAAGAAAGTATATTTCATGGACGAAATTGCCAGACAAAATCATCATACGGTTCTCAGATTGCAGACATATTTTTGTATTTTCAATCCTATAGAATTTATTTGGAGACAACTAAAGAAAATAATCAGTAGAAAAAATATATTCGTAAATTTCGACTATGGAGTTATATCTGGAATAACCACAGAAGTGGAAAATGTCAGTGCTGCCGATTGGCATGGAAAAGTGAATGAAGTTTTGAAATTCGAAGAATATCAGACATATAAATCTGGGTGAGTCCCACCTGACTGGTTAGAATTGATTTAGTTTATTATCAATTTGGCAGATGATAGTGAAGAGGGCTCTCATGTTAGAGATGAAGAAGATGAAGTTTATCATTTGAATTGACAGCTTCATTTTCGAGATTTTTCCTCCTGAATTTCACAATGTGTCTTCAGGAAAATAGATCACACATATTTGGTATCTCTCAGTTCTTATTGTATTACGAGATAATAATCCTGTCTTATAGAAACAAGATACTATTCACATTTCGAGTTGTTTATATTCTTCATAAATCACTTAGTAGCTTACAAGTAGGCAAGAAAACGAACCATTACCTACACCTATTCAGATGTATTATAATTAAGGTTACTGATATCATCATTATTTCCTGTTGTTTCTGAGTAAACTAATTCAGTCCGGCCCAGGTTCCAAACAATTGCGGTTGAGTGCGGATGACTTCGGAACGTCGGCAAAAAATATCAAAAGGATTGCGCCTTCTTTCTTATATTTCATATAAGTATTTGTCCTACTATACTGATATCATCATTATTTTATGTTGTTTCTGAGTAAACTAATTCAGTCCGGCCCAGGTTCCAAACAATTGCGGTTGAGTGCGGATGACTTCGGAACGTCGGCAAAAAATATCAAAAGGATTGCGCCTTCCTTTTAATGTTTCCTATAAGTATTTTGTAACGTTTTTATTCTCCAACAAGTAAGCTCTATGTAAACGTTACTCGTTTGGTCATTTCTAATAGTATTCAAACACTAAATACTATGGTACACATACTTTTATTTCTTCTACTATCATACAGAGTTCATATAGTCTAAATATTGTGACACCACCTTGTATGCTCGCTGTCTCTCACTGTATTCACCTCTAGCAGTGCATCTCAGGAATCTGTAACAAAATAAAATGTTTATTTTAAACAACTATTCTATAGTGATACATTTGAAAAATACTTTGATATACAATGATAATAAACTTACATGTCAATTATTAGCTGCTAGGATTTTACCATATCTTAGTGGGGATGTCTGAACAATCAGTCAACCATTATATATCATTGTGTTTCATCGCTGATTGATCTTGAAAATCTTGAATGAAATAACATGTATTTTCCAATCCTGCAAGAGATAGAACGACAGCGTTAGATTTCTAAATGAGTGACTATAGTATGATACTGGGTCAATATATTTTCTCAAAAATATGTTGATCTTACCTGTCATGTATATAGTGTCCGTCTCAATACTTGTGGGTATTCATTCAATAAAATAAGTATTTTATTTTCTAAATTTTCGCAAAGTTATCCAATGTATATTAGGCAATCCAAACCACGTGACCCAATATGGCGGCTGTTGGCACACAAACCAGGTAGTGCCATAAGGTTAGCATTGTATGTGTGGACATTGGATAGTTTTTTACTGTTTTTTTTCTGTTTCGGAAGCTTTTTGGGCTGTGTAAAAACTTTATTGAGATGGAGAAAGATTATCTGAAGACATTGTTGTTAAGAGACAGAGACGTTGATCAACGGTATGTTCGAAAATACATCCCTATCATTTGTTTACATTTTTAAGCACTGTGTTTCTTTCAGGTATAAAATGAAATTGAGAATTATCAATGACTTGGATCCTTCCACAATGAAAAATAGTGATTTTAATTGTTCACCAGATGCTGTTCCACCCATTAAGGCCGTGTGACACTAATCATTTCTGATGTCAAATTTGCTGGTAAATTTGATGACAAAAATATTTGCACAAAAAAATATTGATGAAAGAAAAATAGCAGTTTGACACTATCAACATTTTTGTTGATACAATAACATGTCAAATCATATAAGAAAATGCAGCCTAACCTCACTTAAAGCAGTATCTGAAGGATATTTTTTAAAGAAATGAAATAATGAAAACAAACAATTTGAACTCATTATTAATTGGTGATGCAACGGCAGCAACAATTATCGTGCTGAGCATGATGCTGAAAAAAAAAAGAAAAGGAAGATTATGGTGCAGACCTTGGCTTCTCAGAAGAACTAGTGGTAGAGGTATCTTGCATCTATTGAATGATGAATTGAGGGTAGAAGATCCTTCATGTTATAAAAACTATTTACGGATCAATTCAGCACAGTTTGAGAGTTTATTAAATAGTATCACACCTTTGATCAAGAAACAGAATACAAGAATGCGGGACTGCATCCCTGAGAGAAGCAAGTATGTGTACCTACCTGAAGTTTAGTTTTCTTAGTTTTTTGAGTATCCTATAGGTATACCTACCAATGAATGTATTTTCGTTGGCAGGTTGGATATTACACTTAGATTCCTGGCCACTGGTGAATCATATAGGTCTTTGATGTATTCCACAAGAATTCATGAATCTACTATATCCAAATTTGTACCTGAAGTATGTGATGCAATAAGTGTGAAATTTAAGAGATATCTGAAGGTAAGCCCAAATATTTCTATGATATTCATACTTACTATTCATTTCAATAATAATAATTTATTATTCATTTCATTATTCCATATAGACACCATCTACAGCAGAGGAATGGAAAGCAGTAGCTGAAGAGTTTGATGAGTTCTGGCAATTTCCAAATTGCCTTGGAGCTTTAGATGGTAAACATATATCATTTCGACCACCATCTTCTGAAGGCTCCTACTATTACAATTATAAAGGTACAAACAGTATTGTTCTCCTAGCTTTGGCTGATGCTAAGTGCAAATTTATATATGTCAACATTGGTGTCAATGGAAGAATCAGTGATGGAGGAGTGTTCCATCAAAGCAACTTGGGAAAAATGTTAGAAAATGGAGAACTACATTTTCCAAATAAAATACCACTTCCAGGGCAACAGGATTTAACACCATATGTGATAATAGCAGATGATGCATTTCCAATGTGCGACAATCTCATCAAACCTTATCCACAAAAAGGCTTGACTTTGGATAAGAAAATCTTCAACTACAGGCTTTCTAGGGCTAGGAGAGTTGTTGAAAATAGCTTTGGAATTTTGGCTAATAGGTTCAGAGTGCTTTTAACCCCTATAAATTTATCTCCAGATAAGGTAGAATTGATAACATTGTGTTGTGTTATTCTACACAACTATTTAATAGATGATAAGAACTATGGGGATGTAAAAAAAAGTGATATGGAAGAATCTCTGAAGAGAATGTGTAATATAAGCCAACAAGGTGGCAATAGATCAGCTTCATCTTCCAGAGGAGTTAGAGATAATTTCAAAACTTTTTTCAACTCTCAATTAGGGACAGTACCATGGCAAGACAGGCAGGTGGAAAAATACAATTTCTAAAGAATAATTTTTTCATTGATGTAGCTTTTAGTGGATATTGATCTTATAAAATAAATATATGGGGTGAATAGAAACAAGAATCAAGCACTGAACAAAGTGAATTTCTGCATGTTCTCATGGTTTATTGAATATTGTTATGTTAGTGGAGGTCCTTACTTTCTCCTATGTGCTGTAAAAGTATATTTAATTCTGCTAATAGTTTCGAGAACTGTAAATAAAATGCTGATTGAAATACTCTGCTTTTTATTTGAACTTTTTGAATCACTATCAATAATTGCATTATAGCAATGCTTCATAACATAACTTCTATAATTCTAGATGAGATCAATTAGGAACTGATACAAACATATGTATTATTACACACACATGGTTGAAATGAAAAGAATATAAATTGGTAACAAACATTCAAAAATTGAAATATTTCACTAGAGATCACATCATAACTTCAATTTTCAATAAAATGCCTAGATGAACTCAAAATTCATCAAGTCTCCTCTTCCTACAGTCTTTTATTGCTGAGAATAGTTCCATTGTTATTGTTTCTTCCAGCTGTAACCTAATGTCTGGATATTCAATTTTATGGAGTTTTGAAACAATAAAATTTGCCAAGGCTCTATCCTCAGAATAAATATCAGTTTGTTCGTCTTTTGATGCAGATCCTGTTCCCAAATTATTAACTTTCTGAAGAGTTTTGCTGATAGTCTTCAAAGTATTGGAAGCTTCTTCAACTATATAATCATGGTCATTGGATTTCTTCTTTTTATGTTTTGGAGCCTTTGCTGATGCACAACTATACACTGACTTTGGTAGATCTGAAGTGCTTTCAGACTGCTTTTGTTGTGTATCAATGCTATGCACATCATCAGACAAATAACTAACCTCTATATTGGAATCATTTTCAGCTTCTTCTATTCTGTACCCCTCATCTATCACCTCATATTCCACTTCATCTACAGTTGATTCATGAAGATTTACAGAGTCGATGGACTGCCTAACTTCAATATGGTCATTGATAAAATGGAAATGTTTGAAGTACCACAAACTTGGAAAGTATACCTGAAAAAGAGCAATGGTTCATTTGGTGTTGACAATTTTGCTACTGAAAATTGAAGGTTAAATAAGAATAAATATCATCTCATATTTTACTTACATCCCTAATAACACACTTATGTCCCATGGATATCCTTAGGACGTCCTGTCAGGACATTCAGGACGTCCATAGGACGTTCGAATTTGGTACCGTGGACGTCCATTGGACGTCTGTGGGGCGCACAAATGTCCCACTTGAGGACCAACTAGGGACGTCCTTGAGGGACGTCCCTGGGACAACTATCGAATACCTGAATCCTACAGTATTCCTCATCAAGCACTACATAGGACGTCCTTAGGACATCCATGAGACAACCTATCAGCAACGCTGAGGGATATCAATTGGATGTCCATAGGATATCCCAGGGACGTACGAATTATTCTTGAATTTGAATTTGTCTGGATCTCTTCAAGACCAGATCTTGCAAAACTGATTAGGACATCCACTTGAGTTGATGGTCCGTAGAAGGTACCCAAAAAGTGTCCCAAGGATGTCCAATGGACTTACGTGAAGGACATTGACGAGGAGTACTTATAGCCTACGAACAATCATTCGTCGGCGAGATGTAAGTTAACGTCCTCGCAGGGACAACATATTGAAAGTACCGACTAGGACGTCCATAGGACGTTATTTCTAGGACATTGGAAGAGTACAGTTTATGTACCAATTGGGACATCCGACGGACATTCGAAGGACGTCCCTAAGGGACATTTCGATTGTTATACGATCCTGGAAATATTAAGGACGCCTGTGCAGAGATATTTGAAGGAATGTAGCATCAGGGTCATTTCATGATTATCTAGAAGGGACATCATATAAGATCTGGAGTCATGCCAGTATATGTACTACTCGGGACATCCGATGGATGTCCCTAAAGGAACGATTAAAATCATATCCCATCAGGGACACGCCAAGGACGTCCTTGCATAGGCATTCTACAATATGTACCACCTGGGACGTCAAAGGGATGCCATTCCTAGGACATTTGAAATGATGTACCAGCTGGGACATTCCGTGGACGTCCTTGCTCGGACATTGCATGAGATGTACGGGATGGGACGTCCCAAGGACACCTATTTTTGGTTCGGGACATTCGGACGTGACTTGTACCAAATAGGGACGTCCCTAGGACGTTGTGTGCTATTAGGGATCATCAGATCCTTGACCACTTTTCAAACTGTTTACATGTTTCTTATAGCGGTTTCCATTGGCAGAACGAGTACGCACTGAGTGCGAAATTTTAGTTCCATTGGTCAAACGAGTTGATTTTTTCATGTTCCATTGGGGAACTGGTTCGTTAAATATCGCACTCAGTGCAACAATACTCGCACGAGCTCTAGGAGGTCGTGCGACTTCAGTTCAAAACAAACAAAGAGAAGCGAGAAGGATGTGTGAAAAATGACGGAGGAAGAAAATTATAAGAAAGCTATTTTTGTCGAAGTTTTGCTTTCATCGTCAAGTTCCTCCAGTAGTGACGAAGAACAGTTTGTACAGTTTCATCGGAAATCTGTACCAAAAATCAATAATTACATTGAAGATGTTGTCCATAAATTTGATAACCAGCAGGTAGAGTATAATAAACTAGATCCTGTATGATCTAAGATAATAAACTTGAAGACCAAATTTGAAGATGTTTCAAATAAGTACAATCAGCATTTTTTATTCCAGTTCAAATCGAATTTTCGGATGAGGAGGGACACTGCCTACATGCTGATTGAAAAATTCAGCATTTCCAGAGTAGCACCACATAATGAATCACATGGTGGTAGGATTCCACTAAGTGCTGAAGTGCACATATTGTCTTTTTTGTGGTGAGTTGAGATTGTTAACAACTATATTAATATACCTAGGTATAGGTACTATATGAAGAAAATCTCTGATTTTCACATATTTTTAGGTTTTCTGGGAATAAATCATCCTTGAGAGATGTATCTCAAAGATTCAACATGAGTTTGTCCTCATTGTTTCGTGTGATTGATCGCGTTAATGACTTTTTGATAGACATGGGACCATCAGTTATCAAAATGCCTACTTCTGACACTGAAAAAGAAAATGTTGCAGCAGAATTTCAAAAGGTATGTTTTTATATAAATTGGTGGTCTTATAGAAAATTCAGAAATATATATTCTTTGCAGATATCAGGTTTCCCTGGAGTTCTAGGCTGTATAGATGGGACCTCAATTCATATCAGGAAACCAGCACATAAAATAAAATCCACTTACACAAACCGCCATGACATACCATCCATAACATTACAGGCAATTTGTGATTATAACAAAAAGTTTATTGATATATTTACTGGAGTTCCTGGAAAAATTCATGATGCCCGTGTCTTGAAACTTTCAGACATATTTGCAACCCTGCCTACTCTATGTGGCACTAGGTACCATATAATAGGAGATAGTGCTTATTTTATAAGACCATGGTTGCTTACACCATTTAAAGATTTTGGTAACATGCCAGAATCCCAAAATATCTATAATAATTGTTTCAAGAAAACAAGAGTACTGATAGAAAATACTTTTGGTATATTGAAGGGGAGATTCAGGCAATTACTACAGTTGGACATGCAAACCACAGAAAGAAATACCAAATTTATAATAGCTTGCTGCATACTACACAACTTATGTATGGATTCTCATGATATAATTGATGAAAGTGAAATTATTGATGCTTCAAATGCACCTGCAGAACCATGTCAAGAAGTTGAATGGCGCCTACGAAAAAAAGGAGAGGAGAAAAGAGAAACAATCAAAACCATTCTGGAATACAATAATAATTGATTTGAATGTTTCCTCATAGATATTTCATTTGTTTTGTGATATTTTTGAAAACTCATGAAATTCATAAATTCAAATAAAGTATAAATCACTCTTATTTTTTCTTTAATTTTGATTTAAGAGTTTAAGCATACATTATATTCTACCAGGTGACACACAAAAAAAAAACACCATAATTCATTTTATACCTCCTGTGAATTTCGAATTTTTTTATCAAAAACTGAACATAATCATCACCTAACTAGAAGAACAAAACCATATACATTTTTTCACTAGAACAAAAACATAAATTTTTCGAACAAATCAAAATACATCCATGAAACTTAGATCACAAAGGAAAATAACTTATCTAATATAATATTATCTTATGTAGTATAATGCAGGTACATTCAGTAGTTTCAGTCGTTTTTACCACCAAACAATTCTCGAATTAATTCCAATTTTTCCAAGTGCCTTCTCTCTTTAGCTTCTTCTTTTTTCAAAAAAATTTCCATCAATGTATCATGCACAGTCTTAGATTTTCTGAGTTTATCTGTAGCAGTTGAAATGGCAGTAGCTGACCCAGAGGAGGATGTGGCTGAACCTGTGGAGGATGTGGTTAACCCTGTGGATGATGTGGTTGTTGTAAGTTGTTGATTATTATTTCCAATGGATGGTTTCAAAATCCTAACTCCATGTGAAGTTCCAACAATCTCAGGCTCAATACTATCATCCAAGGAACTTATCCTACTTAATTCAGCTTCATAAGGCACTTCGATTCTACTCCTTCCACTTCGTTTATTATTATCCACAGCATCTTTTTTTCTTTTTATTACTGTCTTGTACCTGTTTTCTACCTGGATACCAGTTCTCTCAATGGCAAAGTGTGCATTCAAAATATCTGCAATTTTGTTCCACATGATTTTTTTTTGTTTTAAATGTTTTCATTGGTCCCACTTTTGACATAAACTGTTCATACTTGTCTAACAACATTCTTGTCTCATCTTCAGTCCATTCTATGGAAAATATTGATAGAATTAGTTTGTGCTAGTCTCTTTTAGTATCTAGTTGAAGATATTTACCACAACACTGTTTTGTTACAGATGATACAGGTATAGACTCTTCATTCATATCATTCTCAATATCTTGATTGTTTTCTGCGGAATAGGCAGAATATATGAGAATTTCCCTGCAAAAAAGCTATTGTAGATTGTCGTGGATGAGAGTATAGTCAAGATGTTGACTCACCGTTCTTCCTCTAATCTACATATTCTATATAAGGGATCCTTGAGTGAGATAAATCCATTGTTGATAAGATCATTGATATACTTAACAGTATATCCATCACTATCTGTTAACAAATGATGACTATATTAGGATATCAAAAATTCAGGGATATTTTTCATAATATATAAAGTTCGAAAATACTTTACTTGTTATTTTAAATAAATGCTCCTCTTCCCTTGCATCTATTGTGAGTGTAACGAGTTCATTATTTACTTTGAATTGTAAATTCAGGTTGCAACTTGAGCTACTTTCAGATTCCATTTTATTTCCAGAAGTCGCAGACTTTGATACAGTTGAATGTTGATACTATTTTATAAATAAATATTACATGTTCCATTGGAACTGAACTAGTGCATGAATTCGACAGAACTCGTGGAATGTGAGTGCGGCCTGAGTGCAAAACCAGTTTTACCAATGGAAAGTGCTATTATACTCTGATATGTAAGTAGCCCTCAAACCTGCAAGCTTAACTTTAATCTCCATCACTGTTACTGATGACCTAAGGGATTTCAGTGCTGATTCGATTTTTTCGAACGCCTCTTGTCGGGCATGTTTATTTGAATATAATTTAGACTTGACTGCATATAGGCAGGGGTACTCTCTATATTCGTCAATAAGACAAATCACCTGTTCTTTTGACCACGACATGATAAAAGTTGAACAGAAAAAAAAAGGAAAAATAACAAATATTTGAGGTTATGAAGGTATTTTGACTTGACAGATGGCATACAGAATTGCGTTCATTTTGCGCAGATTTGCGGACATTTTTATGAAAATATAGGACTGGTTCTGAATATTTTGATATTATAAATATTCATAGTGTATGACACATAGAAAATATTTTTGTTATCATTTTTGTTATTATTTTTGTCATTAAATTTAACAGGTGTCATACAGCCTTTACAAATATTAATATTCAA